GGGTACATTCCTAAAGTGCGCACTGAGTTGCACACACAACTCTAGAGTGCAGTTAATATGTCGCTTAGCTACCACCAGCCTATTGGTTTTTACTAAATCCTTAATCATAGGAAATGCTTTTTCTCGTTAATTTCATGAGATTTATGTTCTTTCTAACAGGTCGCCGGCTATTGTAATAGCTTATTTGATGAAATCCAGAGGATGGAGACTTGCCCAGTGTTACCAGTGGGTGAAAGAACGGAGACCATCTGTTGAATTAAGTGAAGGTATACAATGAAGATCTGTCTCAGCATTTCTTAAAGGGAGTATTCAATTGAACAATAACTTTAGATATTGGAACACAAGCCAGAACATTTGATTTTGGAAACTAGCCTGCTTGCATAGAGATTGATAAATGCTGATATTGTTGACTACACTGGAATGAAATTTTTTTATTTGGTTGGGTGGGGGATACTATTGCACCTTGTTTTTCCCTCTTTCATCTTGATGAGGGACCTCTGCAGGAAACTTAGAACATGTCCATACTTCAAACAAAGTGAACATTGTTGTCCACTTAGTTTTGAATAATTTTACATCTCTGACTTTCATTTGTGTTTATGGATGCAGCTTACTACCGGCAACTGCAGGAGTATGAGGAGAAGATCTTTGGATCAGCTGGTAGTGGCAACCCAACCTTGCCAGCCTTCCCACCGGTAGTAGCTGCACCTTCGTTCAGCTTTGGATTCCCAAGAGTTAATGATTCAGTTCCTATCCCTGCATTTAACAATGTTGGCACAACCTCCATTTTTTCCCGGCCTGCCCTAGATATTCCTCCGCTGGAGTTTACATTTGGAGCCAGCCAGGCTCGAAATGATATCTCCGGGAGCACTTTTGGTGCGAGTCCACCAAATTCAAACACAAGTGATATTTCAATGGATAGTTCTTGAATTTCCTGTTTTTGAAAACCCCTTTTGCGGATCAACTGTGGAGCAAAGTATCCTGCCTGACTCCGATGAGTTTTATTAATATCTGGATGTAAATTGGGAGTGACCGCTAATACTACAGTATATAAGATTTGACAGGGTGATAAGGATGGATGTCTTTCTTTTCTCTAGTTTCAGTTCTGTAACTGGAACTATTTTTTTCATTCACGCATGGCCTAATACAAAGTTATCTTCACTACATCTACTCTTGTAAATTTTGTCTGCTTAATTTTCATGTTATTGCCAACGTCCATGAGACCTCTGACCCAAGCTTAATAGGATTTGCATTTCCAAAACTCACCTCTGGTTGCACTTTTTGCAACCTTTCCAATCCGTCCTTTCTCTATGTTCGGTATAAGTATTATGATGAAAGATAAAAAGCATTGGTAAAAGTGGGTGATTGGTTGGTGTGATACCATTAAATGGTGGCCGTATTTCTCCGAAGTTGTCCAGTTGTCCATTGATTGCATGGAAAATATACGCAAGCAGATTTACTGTTATTGAGGTCGTTAGGAGGTCATCCAAGGCCCAACAAGCTCCTATCATTGAGGTTTGTTGCATTTGAGATGGAGCATGCAAAAGGCTTCCTTGGCTGGCAGGTCAGTTTGTGCTAGTAATAGGAAGCGTTGGCATTTCAACTTCGAGTTCTGTTTAATATCATCTCACCAATGAACTTTTGGCTTGATTAGAATTGAAGGTGGAGAGTTTCGTTTTCACTCTTTCACTCTCATTATCCTATCCAAATATTCTCCTTGATTTATTTCCCTTATGTTGAAAGTGGTTTTTTCTGTTGACAAATGCTTTCATCTAAACGGATCCAATATGGGATTGGATTGGCTTGTATCATAATCCATTCCAATAACAAAATTGGACAAATTAATGATAAACACATCTCTATTTGACTTACTCATGCAAATATAAACAACATTTACAACAAACATAAATTTAAACACAATTTAATATTGTATTAAGGCAATCAAATTAGCACCAATTTGGATTAACTAGGCTCATGTTTGATTAGTTACGAGTTATCAGATCGGATCGGATAGCCTATTCCACACACCTAAGAGCAGTTTCTATGGAGCCCCCCACTTATCAGTTGAGAAACATTGATACCGTCATATATCTACCACATAAATTAAACTCTAGCACCCTTTTAAAGACTTTTAACTAAGTACATATGCCGGATAACATGTATAAAAGTTATGCACAATTTCCTCTCGGTTTTATAGTTAAAATAACTTTTTTGGAGCTAAACAAATTGTTCATGTACAAATATATATCACAAGGAATACTTAAAATGCAGTCCAATTCTAATTAAGAAGAATTTGCCCCTTATATATTCATGAAACCAACAAAACCAATTATGGGATTGAAGAACTGTACCTCTTTCCATCACCAACTCCACCCATTGATTCATCAAACTTGGACAGCTTGTTTCAAAACTCCTCAGTGCCCCAACACAATTACAATCCATTTCTTGATGACCCAATACCAATTGACAGCTTTGCAGCCTCTTCGAATCCAAGCGCCACCGCCGACAATGGCTTTGGAAATCTCGGAGAAGATGACATGTTCCCTTCCACAATGCTGGCAGTGGCACCAACATTTCCCGAACAGAATTTAAAAGAGACCACAACATTTGGCGCCAATAATTCAAATGAGAGCGCAGATGTCACAACATTTCCCGCGCAGAATTCAAATAATTCAACAATGACACTAACATTTAGTGCCCAAAGTCCAAAAGAGAGCGAAATGTCACCAAGACTCTGGTCTGGCCACAGCGTGCAAATGAAAGCACAAAAATGTCACCAACATTTTGTATAGTTAGCAGAATCTTAAGACGAAAGTGGAAAGTCATTGTGGAAAGTCATGTACAAATATATATCACAAGGAATACTTAAAATGCAGTCCAATTCTAATTAAGAAGAATTTGCCCCTTATATATTCATGAAACCAACAAAACCAATTATGGGATTGAAGAACTGTACCTCTTTCCATCACCAACTCCACCCATTGATTCATCAAACTTGGACAGCTTGTTTCAAAACTCCTCAGTGCCCCAACACAATTACAATCCATTTCTTGATGACCCAATACCAATTGACAGCTTTGCAGCCTCTTCGAATCCAAGCGCCACCGCCGACAATGGCTTCGGAAATCTCGGAGAAGATGACATGTTCCCTTCCACAATGCTGGCAGTGGCACCAACATTTCCCGAACAGAATTTAAAAGAGACCACAACATTTGGCGCCAATAATTCAAATGAGAGCGCAGATGTCACAACATTTCCCGCGCAGAATTCAAATAATTCAACAATGACACTAACATTTAGTGCCCAAAGTCCAAAAGAGAGCGAAATGTCACCAAGACTCTGGTCTGGCCACAGCGTGCAAATGAAAGCACAAAAATGTCACCAACATTTTGTACACAGAGCCAGAGAGAGATGACAATAGCACCAACATTTTGTGTACGAAGCACAAATGAGGTTGGTGAACAAAGTCCAAAAGAGAATACAATATTAATGCCACCACCAACATTTTATGCACGGGATACGAATGGCAGCGCAATATCACCAACATTCTGCGGCCAAAATCCCCGAGAGAGCAGAATGCCACCAAACTTTAACGAGAGGGTGGCGCCAACATTTCGTGCACAGAATCGCAATGACACGACCATGGCACCAACTTTTACCGTGGTGGCTCGCGATAATGAGAGAGTGGTGCCAACATATGGTGACATTGATATAGTCCTCAATTTAACCATATATAAAGCCCAGTATGTATGGAATTTACCAAGAATCAAGGCTATATTTCACTCCCTTATATTTACCAAGAATCTGTTAAATTTCAGAGAGATTGACCAGCGTCTTATTACTGGTAACATTGATATAGTCCTCAATTTAACCATATATAAAGCTCAATATGTATGAAATTTTATCACAAAAGATTTCGGTGCTATTAATAATGAACCACTCATTTTATATATTGTATCTCTCACATTCGATTCTATTTCAAGAGTACAAGGATAATGATATAGAAGAAAAGAATAATCCATCAAAAAAAGATTCGGAGAGATGAGTCAGGGATGGGACATTTAATTTACTGTTGAATGAAGGCACGGTCGGTTAAGTAAACGGACTGTCGTTTTAACTGTGCAATGTTGGCGGGAAATGGTAGAAAAGAAAAGCAAAAGAAGCACAAAATGACAAAAGAGGTGTTAAGGGTTTACATTTACAGCCAAGTTTCTGAAGAGAGAGAGAGATATCACGGGAAAATATAATGGGTATGAGCCTGCAAACAAAAAGGTGACTGACTTTTTGTCAAACAATATTTAATATCAGCAGGCCATCATTAAGAAGTAAGGAGAGCAGTCATTCGGTCAGAGATGAAAAACGGTGCATTTGGTAGCTCATTTTCTACCCACCCACATGGGCTGTCTCATCATCACATTAAAATCTCTGTTTTTTGGGAAAAAATAAAGAGCAGATATTATAATGTGATTAATTCTGCTTCTATATAAGTTTCAGAGCCTGAAACCAGCTTTATAATGTATAGGCTTAATTGCTGATATATTCTTCCTCCCCCATCAAAGTTTGGAGTTTCACGTTGCAACTTCATCCACAACAGATTTCAGAACACAAAATTAGAATAGTCTCATTAAGACCACAAGTGACAATCATGGTCAAGAACAAAAAAGAAATATCCCTTCATCACCAATTTTTCTAAGAAAAAGCAATTTTGAGATTGAAAGAGACTATTAATTTGTAGTTGAGCCACTTTTTTTTTTTGGTAAAAAGTTGAGCCACATTACTAGATAGATTAACGCAAAGAACCATTAAATTCACGCACAAAACGCCCATTAAATTCACCCACAAACTTCCTTTGAGGAGGTTGGAGTTGGGCCCGGGTTTGCCAAAAGTTACAAAACCATATCCCTTCATGTTCCACAAAAGAGAGATCACGTGGTTTGCCAAGTTTCAATACCATATCCCTTCTTGTTCCACAAAAGAGAGATCACGTGATCATGCTTCGACCTTCATATGAAAAACATTATGTTTTCCAGGTCAGCATGCAGTTTGTAATAAGCCACTGGTAGTGGTGCTGAGGATGACGATGATGCTGAAGCTGGAGACTGATCCTCCTCCATACTATCATGGTATAATCGCCCTCTAAATGCCACAAGGTCAGCGTAGTACACCGGTGGGACCAACGATACCGGTTTAGTACACCTTGCTGACGTGAAGCACAAATCATATATGAGCTTCTGCAATTGGTCAGAAGTAAACCTGTGTTCATCCCAAAGAACATGGTAGTGTATGGGTTTGCTTGTTCCAAGGGCTCCATAATGACTGCAGAGATAGAAGTCAAACTCAAAAGGGTGCACGATTATTGTGTCCACAACAGTTCCCGGTAATACGTTGCCACTGGAATTACCATCGCTTCTACTCTCCGGAAAGAAACGAGTATGGTGCCGTTTCTGGGCAACAATTAGTGTGATGGTTGGATAGTATTTTATACCTCCCAAAGCCCTCTTCAGATCTAGTAACTCTTGATTGAGAACCATATCAAACTGGCCCTCACCGACTCCATCACGGAAGACAACAATTTTGTCTGGCTTCACTTTATTCAATCGCTCATAAGTTTCAACAAGCTCCAGACACATGTCTCCAAAATTCAAGATCTTCTCCATGCGACAGAACTGGGGTCGGATTCGTGCAGCATAACGATTCGCGGCAGGCCAGTTTACAGTGGCAACAACAGCTGCAATTGATGGACTTCTTGTGTTCTGCGTAGCAGGATGATTCACATCAGCCCCCACAAACATAACATGGCCTGCACCCCCAAAGAGGGGAAGCCGATCACTTAGCTCTACATTACTGCCTCCAAGCTTGGCATTGATCTTAAGTGCAAGATATGAAAGATAATCGTCATTTGCTTTGTTAGCCTTATCTGACAAGCAGCACTGCGTCACTATACCAATTTGAGTCTCAGAGATCCACTTCAGATACTTGTAACCAGGAACTCTTCGAGCCATTACACAAACAAGTAATTGTAAACGGCCTTTGCTTTTCTTGTATGCCTGTTCCTTAATGCTTTCAAGCAGCTGACGAAGCATCTGAACACTAGTGAATGGCCTCATGTTAGTGGCTTCGTACAAAACAGGCTCTTCCATTCTGATTCCCACTTTGTTGCACTTTGAGATGAGCTTCGGGATGAATTGTTTAGAGTCCAGACAGAATTGATCAAAAGTGCTGAAGTCAAGTACAGCCCAGCAACTGATTGGTTTTCCTTCCACTAGAGACTTCCCAAACAGAGTCCAATCGAATTTCTCTTGGTGAACTGTTACCTTAGCTATCTTGCCATTAGAAGCACGCAACTTCAACTCGGGTGGGACAATGACACGCCCTGTTACTGGTGTCATAACCTTGTTGACTACAATTCCAAAATTCCCAATGATGCCACCACTGCCAATAACAAGAGAATCAAAATCATAATTAATCACTGCAGTCTTATGCAGAACTAAGCTACTCAAAATGGCTATAATATGGCCCTGTTAATAAGCATCTTTTGTGCATAAAATATGTTGCTATTCAATATGCTTAGATTCACTGCAACCACTGAGTTTATCTACAACCCACTTAGACGTTCAAGCTACAGAAACCTATAGACTATCATTAATTAACACCATTACATGGGAAACAATTCCACTATCACCAGCAGGTTCATAAATAGTATTAGAGCAGAATACTAGTTCTCAGCCTTCTGAGAAACGAGCTGCCTGCTAACTAAAATCATACACACTAATTGTGTTCCGTGCAAGAGGAACAATGAAGTCATGAAAGCTCAAGTAAACAGCAGTGGAAGTTTGATAATAGTCAAACTCACTAGCCAAAAATAAAGGGCATAAATTAACTTACCCACAAGGTCCATCGTTAGATTCTACCATCTCACGTATATTCTTCTGTCTAATCCCTGGTAAAGCCATTGCAATGTCCTTCAGCTTGATAGCAGCATTTCTGTCCGAATGCTCCCTTGGATACGTTTGCCCCTCAGCTAAGACACAGAACTCCATCGGTGTAAAGTTCTCCCTACCATTTTTCCCCAAATCCAAGCAGGGAATGTTTTTGTACTGGATCTCCTGGTGTTTTTCACTGAAATAATCAAGAAGTCTAACTTTCCTAGGTGGACACTGGCCATCTATATCTACAGCATCAAATGTAATATCTCCTGCATTCTCATAAGTCAGCCCCTTGATGATGTACTTTTGCTTGGTTTTCCGGTGAGTCACAGTAACTTTCAATCCCCTCAATACACCCACAACATCTCCCCTCAACCTAGTGAAATCTTCTAAAGTAAAACCCCTTATTCGCTCTTGAAGAAAATCTATAACTGGCATGCACTTATGTAATGCCACCGCTGAGTAGTCAAGACACAAAGCAGGACCCTGGGAAGTCAGCCTTAAGCTATGCCAAAACCCTCTAAATGCAGCAGCACCATGTCCAAGGTCGTCGTCTTCGTTAGATTTAGGGGGGTAAAAGCATCGCCCAACAGAAACCAAGCACCTAGTTGGATTTTCTTTCATCACCAAACTCATACCCTGCAATATATCACCAGGGATAGACAACACGTGGCCACTCAAGTACTCCTTCAACTTGCAAAGCTTGAGCTCATTTACCAACTTTATGGTAAATATGTATGAACTGAACCGTGTGTCTTCTTCCGCAGGAACTTCCACCTTAAATGATTCAGTGGGCAACGGCACGGCACTGAAGATGTTTTTTCCACCATCATATGCTGTACTTAACAAGGGAAAATCCGAAGGATTATCAGAGGATAACTTCTTCCATATTGCAGAGAGTTCGTCCTTCGACATTTTCACAGAACGGCTATTCTTAGCCTGGTTCTTTAGCTTGATATGAACATTATAATGCCTTATAATAATATCGGGATCGTATGAGAGAGTAAAATGATTGACATAAAGCCTAACAGTTCTCATAGTTTTTGTACCTCCATTATCGGGCCGTTTAATTGGGATATTTTTGTCTGAACTGTCCAACAAAGATGAAGGAGCCGCTCTGGGCACCGACGCTCGGTTGGGAGCGGAAGTTTTCCAAGGAGAAGGCCTCCCTGGCGCTCCACCACGACCGCCTCTTCCTCTCTCTCCTCCGCCTCTTCCTCTCTCTCCTCCTCCTCCTCCACCTCTACCTCCACTTCCTCTGCCTCTACCTCTTCCTCCTCTTTCCATTGGAGAAAACTCAAAAACGGAAAGCAAAAATAATACGGACTGAGCGAGAGGAAGAAAGTTGGATACTTTAAAGGGCCTTGGCCAGCACCAGCACGTAAACTCTTCCTTCACAGATCTTTGAGTCAAAGATATTGCCGATTCTCTGTGGTGTACCACTTTTTTAAAATTAAATAAGCGATACAATATTTATAATTGCAGGGAAAAAACACCGCGGTCCCCACCAGCTGACGTAGTCTATCAGCGGTGGCTTTTTGACAGCGTCGACACAGAAGATTAAATAATAGGATTCGTATTATTTTTATTCATGAGAAAGGTGCGTAAAATCCCCATCTTCATTCATAATAGGATTCGTATATTTTTATTCATGTGTTGATTTATGTTAGTTCACTTGCAACTGGGAATGACATTCATAGCTTTAAAATAATAAAAATTGAAAGCCAAGAATTTTGAACTTGTCCGGTTCAAGTACTGAGCCATTAACTCTTACTAAATGCTTATGGATTTGTTATTTTATCTTTCCCACTTTAATGCTCCCATTTTGTATTATCTAACATATTTATGTGTAAATGGAGAAGAAGAAGACATTCCTGAAGATTCCTCTGGTGAAGACATTCCTGAAGAAGAAGCTGTTGGCAGGATTTGTTTGGTTGGGCCTTCACAAGGTGGTGATACTCTTAAAATGGAGTGCAGCTGCAAGGGAGAGCTGACACTCGCTCAGAAAGAATATGCAGTAAAGTGGTTTAGCATTAAAGGGTACAAGACAGAATTGATATGAAAGCATGCTGCAACCTAAGTCTTGATGTTGAAGTAATCTGAGTCAAAGTCAGATCATCTAGACGTTCGTAACTATCCTCACCTCCACTTGAGAAACTGACAGTTACAAAATAAATAAGATAAACAAATCATTACGCAAACAAAAGGACAGTAAAGCTAAAATACTTTTGATTACAGAAATGTGAAATTCCTGTCCATGACAATTTTCTCAATGCAAACAGGCAGATAATAACCCACTTATCAGTTGAGAAACATTGATACCGTCATATATCTACCACATAAATTAAACTCTAGCACCCTTTTAAAGACTTTTAACCAGGTAAATATGCCGGATAACATGTATAAAAGTTATGCACAATTTCATATCGGTTTTATAGTTAAAAATAACTTTTTGTAGCTAAACAAATTGTTCATGTACAAATATATCACAATGAATACTTAAAATGCAGTCCAATTCTAATTAAGAAGAATTTGCTCCTTATGTATTCATGAAACCAACAAAACCAAGTATGGGATTGAACTGTACCTCTGTCCATCAGGATTGAAAGCCAAAGCATTTATAGGTCCAAAATGCCCTTTAACACCTCCAATCTCTTCTTGAAGAACCTATACATATGTCATTGGGGAAAAAAATGATGTACTGAAGTGACAACAACCGACTACAAAAAATATAAACAAAAGTAGTAAAGTTTACCTCGTCATAGAATTTGGCTTCGAATTTCCCAGCACGATGATCAGTTGTGGTGACAGCTGATGCATCCTGACCACCACCTAGTACCACCTGGACAGCACATAAAGAATTTTGTTTTGAGAAAAAGAAAAAGACTTGTATAATGAACAAGGAAAAACAGTGCATATAAGGAACGTGTCTTTAGTAAGTATCATCCATTCATCAAAATCCCAAATTGTAGCTAAACAAATTGTTCATGTACAAATATAAGGAACGTGTCTTTAGTAACTTTTTGTAGCTAAACAAATTGTTCATGTACAAATATACCACTGTCCAGGGTCAGTTTCCAGATTTCCCAGCCTGAGGACAGGCCTTATTTTGGGACGGGTGGAGTTGATGAACCTCATTTTCCCATTATCAACTATTTCCTTATCTTTTACTTTCACCTAGCTATTTACCACTAGCTGTAACTCGTTATTTACTTTTATGTTGCTAAGAGACATCTTGGAAGCTGTATTTAAGCGTTGGCTGGCCCTATTTTGGGATTATGAATGAATTGAGTTTATTTTCTATTTCCCATTTGCTTTCTTTTCCCTTTTGAGATAACGAACCCATCACAAAACAAGTTGACATGCTAATGATTAATTAATCTACCGCTTTCTCAATATATATATATCAATTAAGCATGCATTTTAATGAATCTTATGTAAATTCCCCGTCCCTTCATAAGTACAAATTCTAAGCATTCTATGTGAAAAATATTATTTAACTACGACATGAACAACTAAAACAAAGAGGAGTAGAGAGAGGGAGAAGAGAGCTCAAGAAGTTGGGAGCTCTGGAGGTGTGTTTGTAAGCTTGTAGAATTTCTCTATTTATAGGCTTACATATTCAACAATCACAAGCCACTAACCTTTTTTTTTAAAAACTCAAATACCTAACTCACAATGCCATTTCTGTTGTAATTTATAAAATGTTTTAAAAATTTAACCGTTTTGATTTATTTAATTATTTTGGCTGTTTTATTTTATTTATTGGCGGGGCTATGCATATTTAATTTTCAGGTATTATTTCTATATTGAATTCCTTAATTTTTCTGGTTTAATGTGGTGAATGTTACATGTTCTTGGATACCTATAAAAGGTCACTCATCCTTCACATTTAACATACCATCAAAATATCACATACCACAATATGATTCTCTCCTCTTCTACTTTTTATACTTTCTCTACTTATATTATTATTTTTGGGCAAAGGTTCTGAGACTTGGATACCTATATCCTTCTATGAACGTACTCATAGCAGATCTTGAGCTTGTGTACTAGGGGTCGTATCTAAGTTTCCAGACATTGTTCTGCCTGAAGACCAAGTCATGGCTCATCCCTTGATGTCAGCAGAAGTGCCCAAGCGTTCTATTGAAGAATACTTGATGTTCTTTAGGTACTGCACCAAAAGGTCTGCTGCCCAATGGCAAGTAGTGCTCAGAAGGACCTGTCCTTGGTTCCAGCTTGGATACAGGCTCTTTGAGAAGGAGCCAGAAGAAGAAGAAGACAGGATTGAGCAACTTGGGGTAGTGGGCAACTGGATATCATTTGCTTCAAATGAGGGCCCATGTGGCTCTTGTTTGCTGCAAATTGGGCCCCACAAAAATTCTGCCTGGACTGGAATCTTGAGCCAAATTCCGCCCCATTTTTCGGTCAACAACTCAATTTCACCCAACTCCTCCTCCTCCAAATACATGGGTTGTTAATTTTTCCAACCATGTATACTTTTGGTCCTTTTTTTCTTTGAATTCACAGAATTTAATTACAAAGATTAATTTCAATCATTGCCCATCTCAATAAGTTCAAAACCCCAACAAATTTGCTCTTGTCAGCTGTATATATATATATATATATATTTTTTTATAGGGGCTGTAGTGGATTTTATGAGATATATATTAAGATATGTCCCCAATTTTTTATTAGTAATCATCTGCCATGGTTGATATTGTATTCATTGATACTTCAATTCGGTCTGCACTCTGTTGAATGCCATTATGTAGCACTGCATTGATAAATTTTGCTCTATTAACATTTGATCAAATGGTAACGGTCATGAAAAAGGACTTTGACTTATCGACAAGAGGTCTTAGGTTTGAATTCCATGTCATTGTGCGTTTATATGAGAAATCCCCCCACCCTCCTCTCTCTAATTTAGACTATCACTTCACTTGTACGGAAAAAAAACATTTGATCAAGTAAAATAGCATTTATTAGTTATGTTACATTTATCAGTGTATTATTTTATCAATGTCCATATTTTAGTCTTTCGATCTTTTTTTATTCAGTGGCTAAAAAGTACGTTGGATGTTTCTTTTTCTCAATAAATTATTATTATTTTTAATTTTTTTTTTAATTTTTGCATTACAGAAAATTTTAGTTTTGAATTCAAAAGACAACTTGCAAGAATGTTATAGGTCCTTCACCATGACTTGGGCCACGTTGTTTATGTCTACCAAAAACAAAAATGAAACACTTGATGAGAAACACAAATTAAACACCATAATTAAAATGATTCATACACAAAAACTCGTTCTCCACAAATTCATACTTATGGTGCGTGAGTCTTCTTACAAAACAAATAACGAAAATGTAGATAGCATAAAAGTTGAGTCTCCATTATTTCACTGCTTGGAGTTTTCCATTGTTGCCAACGGTTCCAAGCTTTTCCTTCTTGTTGATGACTTTGTTGTACAAAGCTTTTCGTTTCTTCTGAGCCTCAGTTGGAAGTTTGACCTCTGTGGCCAAACCAAGAGCTTGAAGAAATCGTATCAAATACCAAGTAGTATCAATTTGCCACCATTCAAGACCTTGTCGAGCTGAGTAGTCAAATGCATGGTGATTGTTATGCCAACCTTCTCCATGTGCTAGCAAACCCAACAACCTAATTAACAAAACTAAAATTCATTACACATTTGCTATTATACCCATCCAAGTTGGAGATTATTGTCTTCCATCCAAATCCAACAGACATATCTATACAACAAAATATACCAATTGTTTCTGGATGAATCACCGGTATCCCATACTTGCGTTCCCCATGTGTGACAAATCGAATTTATTGAGAAAGTAACGTGGACCATATAGACCATTCTTATGGCCTACAAAAAGAAAAGAACATAATAGACTAATCAAAGTGATCGCCGTGATTGACAACAAATGAAAATGAGCAAAGTACGACTAGTATAGTGGTTTAGAGCATTTGCTCTCTCATGAAAGGTTTTGAGTTCGAGTCCTAACATATGTGTAGTTTGTATGAATGTAACATATTATCGACCCTCTCAATGAAAGAGGTCCTTTAAAAAAAAACAAAAAACAAAAAGGCAAAGCCACCACACCATGCAAATTTTCTATTTGACCATTGATATTAGAGATTTTGCCCCATAATTAAGGAGGCATTTAATTTGTTTGTTCTTTCTTCACTTGATCAAAAGGACAAAATTAGTAAATAAGACCAATCTTACCATTCCCCAAACTAAAAACGGTAGCCCTCCTACGACATACAGTAAAACTCCAAGAGCCACTGAGTGAAAG